GGATCAACGATCACTTCCTGTTCCGCCAATTTCCTCCGTCCTACAACCGCAATTCTGCCGATCAGTCCCACGAATCAAACCGCTAACTATCGAAAGTGTAAACCCTTTCTAGCGGGGGGCTCCTGTAGTGACCTACTTTTGTCAACAGAACGCGATTGGTTCGATGAAAACAATTATTATTATAACCACTTGTACCAGTGACTGTTTTACTGTGCTCGTTTGTTTAACTGTGCTAATAACAGCCATTTTAGTCTTCCATTGTATTCCATTGCTTCTACGCGGTTTTCGACTACGCACGTATCTTTTCTTGCCGATCGCACCTGTACTCCTTTGGCACGATCTCGGTATTCTTCCGATACCACGAGATTGCCAACAAATATATCTCGGCTACAGCCATCATCTGCCTTCTGATTTTTGGCCTACCGGAATCTTATTGGTCTATTGGCAAGTAGTCTTGTAGCGGTGTTCATAGTCAAGCTCAACTCGACACCACGCTACACACCTGTCATCACACTATCAATTTGTACTTTTCACATATTATGTAATCGTTTTATTCATCGTTATCATTGACTCATAAACTACCTTGATTGGTTTAATAATTTCACATATGCATATAAATATTACTGTACATTAGAGTAAAGCCTGATGAGGATCTAATCGAAAACAATATTGTTCGCTTATATATGTTGTTCTAAATTTACAGTATGGGATATTTCAAAATCTGGAAATGTTAGATTTGTTGATGTGCTTAAAAGTATGACTTACAGGTTGGTTGAATATCAAGCAATTAACAATGACAATGATGGAAAAAAACTAAGACATTTTAAAGTTCTGTCAGGCAGTATTAAAATACGTTGGATTGACAAGTGGGTGGGTTCTCCGGATAAGCAACGATCAGTTTGCCTCAAGTATAATGATTATACTGTAGCAGAACGATAAGTATATTATCTATTGATGCCAATGTTAATAATGTCACTGACTCTATGTAGAAAGTCAGTCTGTGTACTTTACAGTCCATTGTTAGTAAATGTCGAATTTTATTTATATCTGTATTGAGCAGATTAACTCAAAGCACAGAAATGTAACCACATAAACACTCGTTATTTCATCGTATGAAGTTATTGATCACTTTGTAGTCAGAGTTTGCAAAACGAATGATTTCTGTTACCACCAGTATGGGTCGAATACTGCAGATCGAGAGTGATGGTGACACGATAAAGTTGTCTCTACAGGACGACAAACGGAGAGTGCCGTATATAAGTTCAATAACTGAACTGAAAAGATATCGAACAGAGCAAAATAAACCAAGAATGTCACTTTGGGCTCATGTCAATGATATTCGCGCAAAACACTGTCATTTTTTGAGATAGAGGTGGCAATGTCGTTTCCAGTTTGTAAAAGATTCGCTCTACTACGTCGTCAGACTATCAATTGAACTGAACAGGTTTCTTCTATCAATAGAACGCGGGCTACCTATAGACACAAAAAGATAACAACCATGAGGAAACAATACTTCATAAAATAAGGTACGACGTCGAAGTTGAGTAGTCACAGTAGTTCGGATGTGTCATAATTTCACAGAGAAATGACATCGTTCGTGTATATACCGATGGGTTGAGCTAAACGTTCGTTCGGGTATTATTAGTGTAACAGTTAGATGTGTGAATGAAAACCTACGAAGACTATGATGGGGTTCGTGGAGAATCCCAAAGGTCGCTTAGATAATTACCAAATCCGTGTTACATGTAAATAAACCGAAAACGGGGTTAAAATGACTCTCGTGTAATAAGAAAGTCAAACAGTGGTTTATCATGTGAGACAACAGAAAGTACAAAGCGTATGGTAAATATTAGTAAGAATGGTCACTACCATTGTAACTAAAGTTTAGAAGGTTCAGACAACCCCCCCCCATTTCGTAAAAAGCTGATGCAATGAACTTATTATCTAGCGTTAAGTATCATATTACGCACGACAGTACGGTTTTCTACAGTATGTCAACTTATGAGTCATAAAGGTACATGATTTCACTTAGAACTTTACGGCAGTGACAGAATATATGACTACTCTACATCAAAGTAACTACGAAATGTTACTACGCATCATAAACACAGTACAAAATTATTTAATCCAATTATGAAACTCGCCTGAGTTACTCTCGCTTCCAAGTAATAAAGATTTAAATCAGATATTAGCTCAAAGTTGGATTATATACCAGATATTGTTAATTTACTTCTTGGCTTAGTACAGAGTTGTAGGCTGAGTTTTTATAGGTCAAAAAACAGTTTCAAGCAAATACGTAGCATTGTCTGGTGAACAATCTAAACGAAATCTAAGATTGCAGGAAGGTTATCGTTCAAACTCACCTTAAATTTCTGACATTCGTATCCCCTGTCTGACCATAGAACTCAACAACTAGAAATTAGATAGTCAGTGGTCAAATAAGAAAAACCATTCTAACGGATGGTTTCTGAAGAAGAATAGGTGATAGTGATTAAGCAAAAAGATGAATTTATAATCGATAGTTAATCTTGTATTGCTTGTATATATGGATAAGCTACAAATAGATATGCGTCCGTGTCGCCCTGCAGTTATACTTACGAGTATTTGATATTTTAACAGACATTACACAGAAGCATCTAAATGCTGCTAATGTTTGTCCTAAACCACGATAGCTGATTATAATCGTAGTTGACTGGCTAGTTTTGTCGATTGAATTAATTAGTTAAGTTTAAATAATAACCAACAATAATATAAAGCAGCGAATGTCCGTAGTAACTGATGGACATGAGCGACGATAAAAGTGAAAAAGAATAAGTGTAGGATACAATATTAGAAATAACAATGAGTTGCGTTAGTCGGTCTTGTTTACCAGTGTGGATCACTTACGTAGATGATATATGCCAAATGATCTGGCTAGAACCCAGTGACATTTCACCGGCTCTTTGGATCGATAGATGGATTATCGACCAATGGACATAAATAAGGACCTGGAACTGTGCGGAAACAAAAAGATGCGAGCTCAAATAAATTAGTCAGTTTATTCATGGTTGTTACAAGGAAATCGAATACGTTAAAGGTCAGGTTTATTTTTGCCTTCTCATTAAGATTGCAATGATATAAATTCTTGTTACACCCAACTAGTTTTTATCTTGGTCTCGTGACAGCTACTCGTTCGGGAAACTCTACTATACAGGGATTGAAGCTGCTTCCCTCAGTATAGCAGATACGGTCCACTCTGCTATACTGAGGGAAGCAGATTCAATCCTGGCAACACCGCATAGCGTGATGTTTTCACACTCGCTATGTCGAGGCAAACTACCGGATATTTGGAAGCTGGCCCATATCACACCAATCTTCAAAGGAGGTCGACGCAGCGAATCTTCAAGTTACCGACCGGTGGCTCTTCTCTCTATACCTTCAAAGATCATGTAGTCCCTGGTATACGATGGTATACACTACTATCTGCTGTCCTTAAATTTCTTCTCACCCCAACGGCATGGTTTCAGGAAGGGTTACTCCTGTATGACGAACCTGCTGACTGCGGTGGACATACGGACAAGCGTCCTTGATCGCAAGGGGAAGGTGGACACCATTTACCTTGATTTCTCTAAAGCTCATGATAGGGTTAACCACATGTGTCTTATTAACAAGCTCAAACAATTGGGTATCAAACCACCTTTAATTGACTGGCTCAGTTCATATCTGACAAATCGACATTTTAAGGTCAGGGTAAACTTCAAATTATCACACGCTATGGAATGTCCTATTGGGGTCCCCCAGGGCTCAGTACTAGGACCTCTTCTCTTCCTGATTTATATAAATGATCTTCCTCAACAGGTAACGTCAGACATATTGCTCTTTGCCGATGACGTGAAACTTTGGAGAGAGATACGCAACCAAGAGTATATACAGGCACTTCAGGAGGATCTGAGTCGACTTTAAAGTTGGGCAGACGATAACGGACTTACCTTTGACGCTTCAAAGTGTAAAGTAGTCCATCTGCGACATGTCGCAGATTACAGTTACAACTTAGGAAACTCCTCTCTAGTAGTATCCCGAGTCGAAAAAGATTTAGGAGTTCTGGTGCCCTACGACTTAAAGTCTTACGCCAACTGTGACAGAAATGCCTTTCGAACAAACCTTGCACTGGTAACATTGAAGCGCATTTTTGGTCAGTTTGACGGGAGAACTTTCCACCCATTCTTCAATAGTTTCATTCGTCCCCATTTAGAGTACGGAAACATAGTATTCCCTCCTACACTCCAAAAGGATAAGGACACTCTGGAGCGCATCCAACGGCGAGCCACGAAATCAGTTCGTGGACTCAAATTTAAACCTTACGATGAGCGCCTCCAATCACTCGACCTTTACCCATTAGAGTATAGGCGTCTTAGATGTGACCTTTTAGTGGCGTACAGTATCCTTAACACTCCTGGACATCCTCTTAAACACCTAATTAAGCTTAGTCCCAACACTAACCTAAGGGGTAATACCCGGAAATAAGAGATACAACATAGTAGAACGGACTGCAGGCACAAATTCTACTCCTTAAGAGTTGTCAAATGCTAGGATTCGCTGCCAACTGAGCTAGTCCAAGCAACCTCCCAGGAGTCCTTTAAGGGGCGACTTCATCTATTCTAAAGAACTAAGGATAGTATCTTACTATGATTTACCAATTCATTGTTTTTTCTCTTTTATCGTTAACATACCTAGGTTCTTGCCTGGAGATACTGGTGGTCCTCTGCTACTAGACACGGGACCCTGTTAAGCGAAAGCTTCTTCTATTCCGTCCACAACCATTTGAACCATTTGAACCATTTGAAACTATAAAATATATACTCATAAATAACTGATGGAAAAAATAGAATACTTTCTCTGGACGAAACCGTAAATTTGGAGTCTCACATTTATACGGAGGAGCGAGTGTAGAATAAATGAGGGATTTAAATTGGCTCGGCACATGTTTATTGAATATTGTTTGGATATTCGAAACTGAGGTTACTCTCAATGCGCGGTGGTTTCAACAGTGCCCCTCGAGGTCAGCGAATAGGTTCACGTCAATGCCAAACATAAAGGTGTTTTCTGGCAGCTCAAATCGAGACCTGGCTCAAAAGATAGCCGATCGTATTGGCTGTCGACTAGGGAAAGTTACTTCTAAAAAGTTCAGTAATCAGGAGACAAGGTTAGTAAAGTCTTCTAGACATTTATTTCGTCAACGACAAGTCTGACAATTGTAAATTTATAGTGTTGAGGTTGAGGAGTCAGTCCGCGGGGAAGACGTGTATATAATACAAACTGGCGGTGGGGAAGTCAATGACAACCTTATGGAACTACTCATAATGATTAGCGCCTGTAAGATCGCTTCAAGTTCCCGAGTGTCCGCAGTCATCCCCTGTTTCCCATACGCAAGGCAAGACAAAAAGGTGAGTCTGACACTTATTTTCGCTTAATGATTAAAATTGCTTGTAATTTTACAGTTATAGAAATGTAACTGAAGTGTTTGTGGGAAGAACAGTCACTAAATCTTTTAATCATATCCTTCTAAGTACTGCAACCTTATTAACTTCAGATGAATTATGAGTGCGTCGGTACTAAGTAACCAGATGCGCCATGTTGAAAACTCTTCTGGTTCCTGCATATTATTTGTACCTTTGGAGTACACGGTGTTGCATGGTGAATTAGCATTTATAGTTACGAGTCTCGTATCCAGAAGTGAAGTTAACAAAATGAAAGGGGAGGAAAACCAGTAGGGTTTCAACAAGTATGGAACATAAAAGCTACCCACGAAGTGGTCGTGTGTGGGTGGCTTCATGCAGTTGTCCTTTGGGCACTGCAGTCATGCTCTCAGGACCACTTCTAACCCAATTTATTTTTAGGCACCTCTCAAAGAACCCTTCCCCGGGAAGTGATAACTGCCCTCCTACCTTTAACAAAACTCAAGATCATTATTCATAATTAATTCCCTTCTTCAATCAAAAGAGGTTGACTTCACCTTAATCCAGAATCTTCTGTGTAATAACTTTAATTGTAAGTAAAGCTTGGTTGAAACTACGTGCACAGCGATTGATAACATATACTCTCACTGCTGAACCATGATCTACAAAAGTAGAAAACATGAATGTCGTGAGGATGTTTTTGTCATAAATGTCTTTGGAGCATTGCTTGTGCTTCATAAAACGACCGAGTAACCGAAGTTGGAGTTAAGCACAGGGTATTTAACAAGGCTCACACCAAGAAAGGTGAGCGTCAAAAGGGGAATAACAATTTTAATGGTTCGAAGTTTTGTCGGTTTACCATCCGATCCCTTCGGCTCTATAACTAACTCAAAATGTAGTTTCAAACGTCCATTGAAGAGCCTACTTTCAGCGAGTAAGGTCTTTTTTCTACTTTGGTAACAATTCATTATTCTTATTATTCCAATCATCTTACGTCATACGTCTATTTCAAACAGTGAGGGGAAAATCCATTTAAAGTGGTGTTTGTGTATTTGATTTCCAACTGAACAAGATTTTGTTATTAGGTGGTTGAAAATGTAAAGATTGTACACAATGTAACGAAGGTGAATATTTGCTACGAATTGTATTAATAGTTAGTATTAGGAAGTGATGAATTATTCAGTAGCAAGACAAAAATTTACAAGATCATCTTCAGGAACGTTTGCTATAGATTAAATGTCAGCACTGTAACTGTACTTTATGGAAGAATAGTAGAAAAATAATATCTTATTTCAGCAAACTTAACCTTTCTGAGACTAATTAGCTACTTTTGTCTTAAAATAGGACAAGTCACGCGCTCCTATCTCTGCGAAATTAGTAGCTAATATGCTGTCAGTTGCCGGAGCTGATCATATCATAACAATGGACTTACACGCCAGTCAAATCCAAGGATTTTTCGATATTCCTGTTGATAATTTGTATGCTGAGCCTGCAGTTATCAAATGGGTCAAAACAAATATACCAGAATGGAAAGATTGTTGTATTGTTAGTCCAGATGCTGGTGGCGCTAAAAGGTAGTCTGTGTGCATTTATTACTAAACCATGATAAATTTATTTCTATAAACTTAGTCTAGTACTCTTTCCAATTGTTGTTAGAGATATAGAAAACTAAGTGAGTTAATAAGGATAAGTGGTGCAGATATCTAAACAAACCAATCCACTTTGCCTTTTAAACTTCTGGTAAACATCAATCCTTAATACACAACATCCGATAAACAAGTTATTCACTGCTTTTTAAAGTGGGATTTGATGGAATAAAGACTATTGCTTGAAAAAGTGTAGTGTATTGACTGGCTTCTCAAACCATTGAAATTATTAGTAATCTCCAGGTTATGTGTGTAATAGTCAGAAGCCAGTCTCAATTTTGACTTCACAAATGACTTGGCTTTTCGATTTTATACGAACCAGAAATCCCAGACAAGAACTGTCAGTGTATCACCAGTTTCAGCAGTAGTAGGCCTCAATATTCACAAAGGGAGTGGCAAGATCCTAAAATACATCACCGAAAACAGTACTCGAAAGCCAGCGCCTGAAGAAGTGTAAGCTTTTACGTATCGTGACAGTATCATTAATCAATAGAGGGGATCTAGTGCAGACGCATGGGCACGGATTAGCAGTGCAAGGACAGCATTCTTACAAGTGAAGGAGATTTAAAACTGAAAAAGACTTTCAGCCAACACCAAGGTTAGGATTTGTAATACAAACATCAAAACAGTTCTATTGTATAGAGCTGAAAATTGGAAAACTACTACAACCACCATAAAAAAGATACGGGTATTTATAAACAGAAGTTACACAAAGTACTCCATATCTGTTGACCAGATTCTATCAGCAATGGTAGAGACCATATCGGCTTCCAGCTGAGCAAGAAATTACAATAGGACGCCGAAGATGAATAGGACGTGTATTGCGGAAATAACCTAACTTCCTCGCGAGGCAAACTCTAACTTAGAATCCTGGTGGCAAAAGAAAAAATGAAAGATCAGAGAACACAATGTACCGAGAATTGGAAGCAGACACCAAAAGAACGAATAGAACTTGGGAACAACTGGAAAGGAGTACCCAAGATAGAAAGAATTAAAGATCTCTGGTTGGTAGCTCATGCTCTACGAGGGGTAACGGGGGTACACAAGTAAGAAGTCAAGTCTAACTTCTCAGTCTCCGTAGTAAAAAGTTCGTGTCATAACTACCACCAGAAAATCCTATATTCCAACACAAAGAGTTCCGTGTAGTCAAACTATCTACACACAAAAGATAATCTTAAACATATCAGTTCTAAGCTATATATCTTGAATATGAACACATACTCGTATTGTTTCTGTTCTTACAAGGGATTCATACGTGGGAGTCTGAGTAAACAAGCACATCTAATAAAGTTTCAGTCTATAATTTTTCTCAGTTTATGCTGACAATAATAACATCATTAATATTACAACATCCTCTAACAATTTGTTGTTAATGATGAGGTTCATATAGCCTGTTTATAAATAGACTAGTGGTCACTTTATTTTGAGATTTAATCAACTATTTTAATCATACCACTGCATAAGTTTTCATGTGATATATTCAGTTGAAATGATCACCTCTTGTTATTCCACTCAGCTTCAGAGTTGAGAAGGATCAAAGCCACTAAGACAAAATGGTTAAAATCTGACCAATCCCTCCAACTCGATGTTTCAAGGTGTTAACATACGGAATTATCAACACTTCTGGTCTCATACTCCTCGACGTTAGGATTATCTAATGATGCCTACATTTCTGTGGACAGACTAAATCTGCAACTATTCCGAAGTTACCCTAATTTAAGTAAACTGCTATAGCTCCCACTGCACACGAATCTAATCTGTCACACCAGACATCTATCCAGGCACTTAGACGTCTTAATTACTTCTAACCACACTGAAAATAGTGAGTCCTAGCACACATGCCCGTAAAAATACGCATTATTTTTATGGTAGAAATCATTTGTGTCATAACTTGTGGCCTGTGTGCCCTGTTAATGTATAAGGTAATGATACAAAGCAATTACAGAACAGTGGATTATCGACCAGACCAATGACGCATAGAACCTGTACGAGCAGCTTAAAGTCCTTATCGGTCCTGCTTACCACCTAGCCCAGCCTGTTAAGTTCAGAACACCAATCTCGGCCTCTGAGATATGAATCATGTATTCCAAACATACTGGGCTTATATACCAACCAGACAGATTACATCATACTATTAAATATGAAACAACATTTGTACAAGATGTAGCCAAATATGGCTGTGAATGTGGGAGGTAGTAATTAATAGACAGAACAATTTACATGTTTATATCAATTATACTGAGATCAGTAAAGGTCAAAAACTCTTCACCAACTGATAATCTCAAAGCCCAGTTTCATCTAATTAATCGATAGCACTGTTTTAGGAATCTCACCCATAAAGTCGAATGGCTGACCAAGCTTCTTCCGGGTACCTCAAACGGTCAACACTAATCATTATACTAACTTCAAGATCCACCTTTTATTATTTTCTGCCTACATAATTTATGGGTATTTTATTCAATCGGTTTGATTTTCTCAGTTCACTCTTTTATTTTCATTTTATTCTTTGATTCGTTTTCAGAGTAACTTCAATCGCAGATCAGTTAAATGTTGATTTCGCCTTGATTCACAAAGAACGGAAACGTGCAAACGAAGTGGATCGTATGGTTCTTGTTGGAGATGTAAATAACCGTGTCGCTATCCTGGTTGATGATATGGCAGATACATGTGGAACGATATGCACTGCGGCAGACAAGTAATACACAATTTTATTTTGAATATTTTTCCTAGTAAACTCATCTAATTAATTCATATACGGTGTTGCTAGTGTTGTATTTTCGCGATATGTCCACTTTATCACACTTCAATCTATTTCTGCGACCACCTGATCTTTATTTCCTAATTTAAGCTCTTAATGTTCTGTTCGTAAAATGCAGTAATATTAGGATCACTGAAACCGAACATTGGTTATCTAAAAAGAATTCTTGTTGTCATGGGAATGGAATTCCAATGAATTTAAAATAACTTAGCGAAATTTCAGTGGTTTGAACACATTCAACAGCAAGAAGATCGTAGTTTGGAACTTTATTTTATTCCTTCTTGCTAATAATATCAATTCTGAAACTAGTGTGCTATGATTGGTGTTTATATACTACGAATTCAATGTTATTATTTTGGTTCATTGAAGTAAGATAATATTGCTTCAAAAACAAAAAAAAACGTTAGGCTAGAATAGTTCACAACAAAAACTGAGTTCTTGTTCTCGCTTTGTTTACTATTGACATCCATGAATGGTTTATCTGGCTGTAACTAAATAAGATAACTATCGTTTGAGGATAATAATATTTATAAAATAAGAATGGTAATTTTGCTGAAAGGGTTGGTGACTAATTCTGTGTTCAATCAAGAAGGAAATAATATACAACTCTTCATGTTAACCCAAATTTATGTACTTACTAAAATACTATTTATTCTCTATGATCACCTGCGAATTGCCCGGTTTTCTTACTTTTGGAGTGTCAGCTCTTTTGCTAGAACAGTTCGAAATCCAGATACAACTTATCTATTTGAGCACTTCATTAAACAACCTAATACTCTTTTCAGATGCGTCTACTTAAGTGGCACTCGGGATCAAGACATTCCAATTCATCTGTTATATGTTATTGTTACCGATTATTCCAAAGTAGTTGTGGTGGCCTAGTAGTTATCCCCTTCGACTTCTGGTCCTTTGGTTACAAGTTCGAATCCCACTTTGTCTACTTCGATTTGCACATCCGGATATTAGTAACCTTCACACCTTAATTGTTGCTCAAAGCTAAGTACATAGATTTGTACTAGTTAAATGAGTTTACAAAACAAAATGTTTGTAACTACATAATAAAATACACAGTGGGATGACAATCGTCTTAATTATTTCTTATTAGACGTTTTGTAACGACTCCAACCGAAAGTAACTAACATGATGCCATATAAGAAGAACACAAAAAATGACTGTCTTTCATTTTCGAGTATCTTTTACTTTATTTGAAAATGTGGCAGTTTAAATCATGTATTCTTGGGAAAAAATTGTGACATTGTAAGCACTAATAGTAGTGTGACTTGAGAATCGCCATACAGATTCCTCCTAAATTAGACTTGTTGAAATTCACTTTATGAAAGTCAGCTATACTACCCTCCTCATGAATGAAGACATTCTTTATTATTGATCGCTACTGTTAAACCTTATGTTTTCTGTCTCGTGATATTTATAATATTTGTTATGTTTCTGAAATTTACAGATTGATTGAAGCTGGCGCTGAGCGTGTTTACGCTATCTGCACTCATGGTATATTTTCAGGCCCAGCTCTGGAGCGAATTAATAAGTCAGCTTTCGAAGCTGTCGTTGTAACAAATACTTTGCCACAAGAAGAAAATATGCGGAAAGCTCCTAAAATTCAGGTAAGGAAATTCTGAAATCAGCACTAATGTATTGAGATTTCAACTAACTAGTTGATTAAATGTATGAATTTTAATGTATTCGTATCGTTTTTTCTCGAAGCGTAGACAAATGAGAAATAAAATACCAACAAGTACCGTGTTTCGCTTTGAAATTTTAAGTGTTTAGCGACGTAATACTTTGTAAGCCTTTCGTAATACTGTGCGAATTCACATAATTTGAATTCATAGTTTTTTTATTGGGATCGTAAACCGATTAATGTTAGACTACCATTGAAAACCTGGAAGCACTGAACGACCGTTTCGTCCTATTGTGGGATGCCGGCTCAGTGGTCCAGTAGGTTAAGCGTTCGCGCGCGAGACTGAAGACCCTGGGTTCGAACCCCGTGAACCCCCTGTGGTTACGCACTGCTGAGAAGTCCCATAATAGGACAAAACGGCCATCCAGTGCTTCCAGGTTTTCTATGGTGGTTTAACATCAATCGGTTCATGATCTCAATCAGAAATCTTATTGCAATATTTATACATTTGAAAAATAGGTAGTGCAAACGTTTGAGCAGCCCACCATTTTTTCAAAAGGTTCGGAATGCGAATATTCCCGTGAATACAAAAAAAGCATCTGATCAACTTAATATATGTTTGCATATAAGGATGTAAGTTAAGTTTATTTAGTGAAAGCTAATGAGTGAACACAAGACAGGTCGAGTTCTTAATCTAATTTCAAAAGTTAAGGTTCAGTAACAGACAAACAATGCGAAATCTCTCATAGTTGGGGTAGTAGTACTACTACTACACTACACTTCATGTGAGAACAAAAACGGTAAAATAGAGTAGGTGTCTAATATTTGTGGGACTATACAACTGTTAAAACTCCATGGTTAATAGCTTAAATATGAGGTGATTTTTTGCAATCCTCAACAATTTGTTCTGTTTTATAAAATCGATAATCAATGTGAAGTATAAATTGTTTGAAATCAATCTCTTTATTTAAGGAAACACTCATTTTTTTTCTTTTGTTCTTCTCTTCAGTGTATTGATGTAAGCACTATGTTGGCTGAAGCTATCCGTCGAACACATAATGGTGAATCTGTCTCCTATCTATTTAATCATGTCCCTTTGTAAGAACAACAATAATAATCCTGAATAAATCACCTTTCAAATGATAAAATAAGAGACAAACTGGAAAAGATTGTTTTCTTTATCACTATCCACTTTACATTTGTATTTTCAGCATGTTAAGATTTTTTTTTTCTTTCGAAAACTTCTATATTTTCTAGTCTTGTTCCATTTAATCTAATGTATTTTGTTCATCGAACTATTCCATAATGAAATATCTCTATTCATCATTAAATGCTTCGAATGTTGTTTGTTTTGTTTCTTTTTTTTGTAACAGAAAATAATTGATTTACCTATAACGTGTTTAGTTTTGATTTGGTTTGGTTTGATTGTTTTCTATTCTCTTTTTTTTCTTTTTAGAGAATCCAATAGTCTCCTTTAAAAGTCTTTTGTAATATATTCTGTCGAAAACATAATCCTGTAATCCTGAATAGATCAGAGATTGGAGACAACAAACTATTGTGAACAGCTGACTGAATTGTATTAAGTTTTTGACTGAGATCATGAACCGATTGATGTTAGACCACCATTGAAAATCTGGAAGCACTGGACGGCCACTTCATCCTATTGTAGGACTTGACCAGTGGAGCTAATGTGTGTCAGGTAGAGAAAGGTATCTACCTCAGTACAATGGGAGATGGTCGCGTAATTTTGTGGATTGGTTGAGGTTAGATATTAACATTGTTGGATTCCGGCCATCTCAGTGGTCTAGAGGTTAAGCGTTTGCATGCGAGACCGAAGGCCCTGGGTTAGAATCCCGCGAGCGGGAGGAGTTTCACAGTGCTTCCAGGTTTTCAATGGTGGTCTAACATCAATTGGTTTATGATCTCAATCAAAAACCTAATAATCCCCACAATCCTATACTGATGAGTTGTATTAAGTTTGAGACTGTTGGGCAATAATATGCAAAGGTTTTACTTACCATTAAAAACACTGTAACATCTATGGTTGCGGTCTTGTAGCCCCATCCTCTAAAAATATTCATTCTTGTTGTTTTCAAGGCAATAGGTTCCTTATAAAGGTTATATAACTAGCAATAAATATTCCCGCTATTTTCCCAGTAAATTTCAGTTCATTTTAAAGTATCTGATCATTTAGCCTTTTCTTTCTGATTCCAATCATATTTATGACAGTTGGCCAAAACGTTTTAAGTAAATTCGTATATGTCCATTATAATTTTTAATGATCATTAGAATGTTCTGTTCAAGTAAATAAGTTTGATCCAACCTTTAGGTATAATAAAAGTAAAATGAGTTTTAAAAGCTGCTTCATATAAACTTAAAGCTAGAATTAAGATTATAGTCAAACTTAGATTACTCATGTTTCCTCATAATGAAGGAAATCATTGCCCATCTATCTGAAGTTTGGTGATGTTTTCCTAATATATTAGTAATAAGGCCCCCTTGTACCAATATTTATGTGTTAAATTAAATACATGGGGACACAGCTCTCTGCCCTGGTAAGGCTGAGGGTGAGAAGAGTCAGTTCTCTCTCTCGAAATGCTCTCACATGGTCATGCGTATACAGCCACTGTCAGGGGATTCCAACTCACTACCTTCTCGCGTCGGGGGCGTTGTTTACGAAATTGTGAAGACGAAAAACGAATAACCGGCGCTTTAACCGGGAGTTGGAAAACCCTGATTCCAAACCATTGGTGCACATGGGCTCTAGTAACCTGAAGGAACAAATGGCGTATGAATCAATCGTTGGTCACCGGCTACCATGACGTTCAAATGCCTTGTGGATCAGACTTTTAGGTCAAAGGCTCCGGGTATGGCCCCCTAAGACCACCACCTGTTTCTGTCTGGGCACGCGGGCAGTATCACAGCCCACATATAAGTCATGTGACTTGTGTGTCGCATATGTATTCGGTGCTCCTTTTCTACCCACCCTTATGTGTTCATATAATATATAAAAAATGTATATATGAAAGTTTGAGCTGATTTCTGTTTTCAGCACAACCACTAACAGTCAAAAAGTTGATCAGGTGAACTAACCGAATCGTTTCTTTGCGAAAAGCCAACTTATTTCATTGAACTTTTACCCTCCATTTGCAGAATCAATCAGACGAGCAAATCTAATTCAGTAGTAAGACCGATGAATTTATACTACCATAAGGTTAATTCACACTCGTCAATTATGCACTTATTATCAGAAGGGGTTTTGTGGAGATTCTAGTAATTTTATAGTTAAATTCGTGAGTCAATTGAAGCTAAACCATCATGGAAAACCTGTAAGCAGTGGACGACTGTTTCGTTCTATCGCGAGACTCCTCAGCAGTGCGCATCCATGACCCCGCCTCGCGAGATTAATCATTGTATTCCATGAGATAGTAACTTACTGATGACAATGGTGGACGGTGGCTCAATTTCGTGGATTGGTTGAAGTTAGATGTTAACACCGTTGGTTACTGATTCAGTGGTTTAGAGTTTAGGCGTTTGCGCGCGAGACTGACAGGTCCTGGGTTTGAATTTCGCGGGGCGGGGTCGTGAATGCTCACTGCTGAGGAGTCCCACAATAGGACGGAAAGGTCGTCCAGGTTTTACATGGTGGTCTAGCTTCAGTTGACTCACTAATTCAATTATACGATTGTTAATATTGTAGTGAACGAGAACACAAATGAGGACAACCAAATGTAATTGAATTCAAAATTACAGAATATCTTAGTAAAACCTGAGAATCATACAATAAATACTTCATTTGTAAAATGTCGATCAATTGTCTCAGACTCCATTGTTCCTTCATTTCCACACCAATCACTCTGTTCTCGTTCTCTTTTCTTCGATCTTCTCCCGTCAGGCATTTCACTTTCGGTTGCGATACATACTACTTATATCTGTCAACATCAGTAGTACATCTCTCACTATTAAGGATCATTGTTGGACCTTATTCCTTTCTTATATGTCATTATTTTGTGAATATTATAATTATTTTGAAGTAATATTGTTATTATTGCTAAACGATAAGTTTTCATTATCTGCAGTTCCTTTCATTTTCTACATATCCTGTTGAATAAATTTCCACTATTCTACAATAAATCCGTTCTTTTGAACTAACATGTGTGTCCATATACATAGTATTTTTTACTAAATTGAGAGGACGAAAAGCGAATGTTCGTTGTTTTAACCGGGTTGGTGGTGTTGGAAATCTCTGATTCCAAACCAATGGTGCACATGGTCTCCAGTATCCTGAAGGAACAAGTGGCGTCTGAACCAGTCGTTGGTCAGCGACTACCATGGGACTGCATCTCCTGACGTTGCTTCACTGCCTTGTGGATTTGACATGTAGGTTGAAGGCATCGGGTGTGACCCCCTAAGAAAACCACCTGTTTCTGTCTGGGCACCCTGCCAGTATCCTAGCCCTCACACAAATCGAATGATTTATGCAGCGCATATGTTTTTAGTGCTCCTTTGTACCAATCTTTATGTGTTTAAATAAATAAAATGAGATCTATGGGAATGCTAACTTAGTCCCTTTATATTAAGGTCCACATTTGTCAATATGTTACAATGTGTTTTGTAAGAGTAAACTATAACTTCTAATAGTATCGGATTAATAATGCGTTCATCTTACAATTTTTGTACACTTGTTTTCTTTTTCTTTTTTTTGCTTCTGTACATCCTTTTAACTTTTCAGTGATTTGATTTTATCATGATTGATGAAGAATCAATTGACTTGATTGCTTCAAAAATTCATCTTCTACAAAGATCTCAATTTATTAATCTACCATTGTTACCATTATTACTACTATCGGATTTTAATTCATCATCAATTCAAAATAACTTATCAACCTCTAAAAATTATGCCAATCCTTCTACTACTACTACTATTACAAATCCTCCTCCTCCTCCTCCTACTTTTACTAGGAATAGTAATAAAGGTATGGAGAAAAACAAATCACTAAGAGATTACAATCATGCAAATGATTGGTCTAGATTAAATAATATATCTGATACAAAGGTGAGTTGAAAGTTATTAGTAACTTATTCTTAAAATTGATATAGTTTTAGTTAATTTGATTAAATGGAGTAACTTATATGGTAATGAATTAATTTAAGAGAGTCCTCAATGAATAACTAGATAACTAAAGAGGAAGCCTTCATCTATTGTAATATACATATTTTCAAAATTATAAATGATTTATTTCAATCGTCACTTTATGACGTTCTTAAGTTAACTTGTTTAACCTCATAAGTCATATTTCATTGTTAGTTATGCAATCTAATCTGAACTAAACTAATAATCATTGTTCAATTGTTGCTCGTTTTTCAATAAAGAGTTACTCATTTTGAATTCGATTTAACAAATTCTTTAGAGGTTACTTAGTTAAATATATAACCCTCTGTTCATTAGTGCTTTGCTTTGAGAATGCAATAAACATTGAATGTTAATTGATAGAGGTAAAGCAGAAGTGTGTTAATCAGTATGTTTGAGATATATCCATGTCTCATCTTGCAAATATAAGTATAAAATAGACGTAGATTAACAATTGGTACATTAAGAAATGTCAGTTCATAAAGTATGTTTTTTTTTTCTTGGAACTGTGTACTCAGTTAATATCCAATAAATCTAGCGAAATAACTAAATGAATGAGTATGTTTAGTGAAGATTTATATATACCAGTGAAAGAAGTTATGAATCAGAAACAGAATCAATAAAAATAACTGAAATGAATTATTTACTAGAATCTATGTATAATACAAATGTTGTCAATGTGATCTTTCTATGAAACGTCACCATATAAGTCATTTGGTAAGATTAGATTTTCTAATTCCATTACATTGATTAATTCAAATCTCTTGCTTACTATCTTTTAATAACACAATAGATAATTACTATTTATTTATTTATTTTAACACATAAGTATAGGTACAGGGAGGCACCAAATACATATGCGCCACACGAATCTCAATTGATTTGTGTGAGGGCTGTGATACTGCCCGGGTGCCCAAACCGAAGCAGGTGGTTTTCTTAGGGGGCCACACCCCGAGCCTTCGACCTGAAGGTCTGATCCACAAGGTTGTGGAGCATCGTGAGGAGATGCAGTCCCATGGTAGCCGGCCAACAATAATTGGTTCATACGCCATTTGTTCCTTCAGGATACTGGAGCCCGGAAAGCGCCGGAAATTCGCCTTTCGTCCTCTCATTTTTGTAAACAACACCCCCGCCACGAGAAGGCAGTGAGTAGGACTTCCCTGGCAGAGGCTATATACGCATGGCCATGTGAGAGCATTTCGGGAGGGAGGGCGGACTCTTCCCACTCTCGGCCGTACCAGGGCATTTGGGGGCAGATAATT